CCCCGGCCCCGGGGATGGTTGCTTTGCCTGGGGGCCGAGCCGCACGCCCCGCCGCGCCTGTCGCTGGAAAATCACCCCAAAAGAGGCTGGAGAAGAGGGCTGCTATTGCTTCTTCTCACCCTTGAGGGTACGGGGAAGAGTGAGTTTGTCCCATTCTGCTCTGCAGCCGCCTTGTTGCATCTTTAAAGTGTGTTCATGGCTGGACTTGCTTTCTCTCCATGGAAGAAACTTGGTTCTTGCTGTCTGTCTTCGTCGGGTCAAGTTTTCCTCTTCTCTCATCACTTTGGCTGCTTTCCCCTTCGATATGGTCACTTCTGGGGGTCACTTCATGAACCACAAGGCCCCAGACTGAACATGCTTTGAAGTCTCTGCAGTGCAGAGGGGTGATGAGGCTTAACTGTGCTTCCACATGCCTGGTGCAGACACCACGATAAGCTGCACTCTGCGAAAGCACTCGGGCTTGAGGATAAGGTCCTTGAATACAATGTACCTCTCAAGGTGGCCTGGCCAAAAATCAGGGGCTGTGGGGACCTGGGAGTGCTGGGGTTACTGGAGGGGAGCAAGCGGGGAGCTGCGGGACGGGGCAAGAGCGGGCTCTGAGGGGTAAGGGCAGGTGAGGAGGAGGATGCCGGGGTGAGGGGGAGAGCAGCTCTGAGGGAAACTTCCCCCATGTTACTTCAGACGTGTGCCGTGTGGTTATTACGTGGACATGGCGTAACGGAGGCTTTGTCTTTGTTCTCCTACCACACACCATTAGCGGATGGCATTGCAATTATATATTACAAATTACAATAGTATTATATATTATACATTATATATTATCATAGATGATCTTATGCTTCATAACAAATGTTAGAGTGAAGTTTTTACTTTAAAACACCTTCATGTATGAAAAGCCTCGGTCGTGGCTTGCTGCGTGTGGGTGTTCCTGCTTCTTCTACCTCCCTTTTCAAGTTTCAAAAGAGAACATGAAAGGCCACCTCAGGCTATTTTTGTTTTTTAATAATACTGAAAGGCTTTTATTTAATCTGATTTTTATGATGGAAGTATGGGAATGTATTTCTTTCCAGAGAGAGAAAAGAAGAAAAAAGTCCAAAGGTCGTCTCAAGAGCCAGGAGGGTGAGCGGAGATAAAGAAAAGCTTCTTTAGACTGTATAGGGGCTTGTTTTTGTTAACTGTTGTAAGAACAACAATAACAATTTACATATTTAACTTTATTGACTAATTACTATCTTGGAATGAAGAACCAATATCTTTCCCCTTTGATTAGTCTTAACATTCACTGTGAATATTTTAAGTTTGTCTAGAGAAATCTTCCTTAAACACAGTAAGAAAAAAATTGTGTAATCCTGATATTTTTAGGGCAAAAGTTAAAACATAAAAAGCAAAAATAACTCATAGGCCTTTTATTATATAAGGAAGCATTATTTCCATTATTAAAAAACTTATTTGCAAATCACCTTTGCGTGACATAGAAACGTGAAAGTACTGTTTAAGTAATCATTTTTAGAGACTTTATTTTTCAGGTTTAGATAAGCAAGCAAACCTGTGAGTAGAGTAGGTGCGTAACTTACCAGTGATACTTTTTTATACCACTTTAAAATTTTCTGAAGTAATATCTCAATTTTAACAACACGAGCAGGATGAAAGCTCTGGATTTTACCAGTTTCCCTATTCATTCAACCATTTCCCGCTGTCTCTGAGCAAGAGGCTGTGAGGAGGAGGGGAGGAGAGGAGAATGCAGCCGCGGTTCCCTGTGATGTGGGAGTGCAGGTGTGGTACTTGCTGCCTTAATGGGAGGGTGATGGCTTTGTGAAATAGCCAGGTGAGGTTAGCAGAGGTCAGCAGACGGTGATACGCTCACTTCTGCAGCCACAGACCCATGCTGCTCATAATCTACTACAAGAAATAAAGTTGTTTCGTGTGCGGATAAGGATAAAACCTAAAACTGCCCGCTCTTTTTCTTGCTGTGCGTCACATCATTAAACTTTTATGTAGAAACCAGCCTACTGTACCAACATCTTCGCTCATGTGAAATGAAGTGGTCAGCCAGTATTTAATGATTTTGCCCTTTTATCTGGGAAAAACAAACAAATGAAAACTGTCAGCAACAGCCACCTTACAGTTACTGTGCAGTGGGCTGTGCAACAAGAGCCATCAGCGCTGAGACAGACAGCAAAGCTTCCTTTTTACTGAGGAAATGCAAGCTGCCTGTCTAATCAAGTTTCTAAATCACTCCATGATGGTTAGCTATGTGTGTTGCCTCTAAATGACAGGAAAAACACTATATAATGCTTATGTCAAAATATAACCTTTCCAGCAGAACAGCTTGCGTGCTTGGGTACCCCATGGGTCTGTAGTGAAAAGTACTATTTGCCCTTGGCTAAGGAAATGGATCTGCTTTATGGTCCTTTTTTGGCCGCAAGAGTGGATTGGTACCTATCAAAAGAGTTGAGTTAGCATAATAAGACATCTGTCTTCAGCTCTCAAAACATGTAGTTTTGTCTCGGTTTGAACATCTGGTCTGGTGCTCTGTAGGCCAACCCCAAAACAGCCTCTGGTTTGAGTACCCAGGTGCTGCCCCCTGTAATAGCTCCCTCATTACTTTTCTTGATCATAAACTGTAACAACAGAGAAATTCCAGTATATGTGTGGCCATGGCTCGTTATATGAGCAGTAACAGGATGCTAGAGGCCACCTTTCTTTTTTCTTACCTCGTGTCTTGCACGTGGACTAATCTGACCCAAGCCAGTATCTTTACAGCTCCGTGTTTCCACAAATGGGACTGTGAGGATGGAAAAGTGAGTCCCCTTCCATATGGTATCTATCTGTGCCAGTGACAGCAAGGATAGATGTACTAAATCTCAAAAGGAGTGATGGTGTGCCTGGAAAAACATTAGGTCAACCATCTACATAGGGAGCACGTGGCTATGTCTAGTTCATCGGATGAAAACTACCTCAAAGTTCCCAGCTCTGGGAGCTCACTTTACCATCATCCTGATCCCTCCTGGGGCAAGACTTGAGCCTGCCCCCATGCCCCTTCCTCCCCTCCTCCTTTCCTTATGGTCCCATACCCGCTCTTTGGTGGAAAGGAAACCCAGACACAGGCTGGACTGGAGCCACAGCGCGCTCCCGCAGCAATCCAGCATAGACAACAGGGATGTGGGTTGTACATCAGCAGGTGAACCTGAGTCTGGGTATATTGGAGCTCTTTTCTAAATCACCAGGAAATGTAAGGTAAAGCCATAATTACACATGAGGAATTCAGGGAGGTGCTGGTGTCTATGTTGGTAAGAGCTCCTGCAGGAGGAAACCACACAGCTTGCACTAGAACATGATTTTGTTCTTTTTGTTTATTTGCATGCTCTTCCTATAAATACTTGGGAAAAATCACTGAAACCTACTCATTCAATCCAGTTTTCATGTAGGTTCCCAAGCCTAATTTTTCTTCATAGTTCGGTGCCTTTGACAGACTCTTCCCAGCCAGTGGGAAATGCCAAGCCTAGGTTCTCCTGGCATTTAAGGCAGGCTTTAGACCAGCAGCTATGAACCTCAGTCTCTCTTTACCGGCCCCCTTTCTGTCTGCAGGGGACACATAATAGTCCTGGGATAGAAAAGTATCATTATAAAGATAAACATAGCAAAGATGGAACAGTTCTGGGTCAGTAATGCACAGCGGAGCATTAGAAGTGCCTAAGTAAACTATATGCACATCACTGTACACGGAGTATCAGTTGTTCCTTGCAAGATGTAACACACTTTTTTTTACACACTCTTTCATGTAGATCCAGACAGTTTGGTGGATTTTAGGACAACTTTTTAGGGACATGTGAAATGCGTGAGATGTATGATGATAATTAATACACCGTGTAGACTCTCTTATGCACATTCTGTTTATGACCAGCCCTGCAGGAGCGTTTTGGAAGCAAGCAGTGTAATAAAAATGACTGTAATGGGGCATCCAGCAGAGACTATGGCTCATGTTGAGAAAAAGCCTGCTGTGTGGCTGGATGGCTAGGTTAGATATTTGCTTATAAGATCTAAGAAAAGGAACACAGGAAAAGATCAAAACATGACAGAGAGTCAGAAGCATAACGACGCAACAGCACAGTAAAAAATATGCACCTTCATTCTTTGTATTTGCAACATTCCCAGAAAAAAGGTAGAAGGAAACTGCTATTGTTAGTCTGTGGCGAAAAATAATTTCATATTTAATCCAAACCCAAAGAGGTCCAGTTTGCAGTACCTGTCAGACTCAGATATAAGCAATGGTCCTGAGCAGTCCATACACCCCGCCTCCTTTCCCCTTCAGCAGGGGGATCATAAGGTTATTTGTATTGCAAAGCTTTAGTCACTAATTATTTGTCAAAGCTGGGAGGACAGTTTTCCATACAACTGAAGAAGGGAGTGAGGCTCCACCAAAGGGTTAAGTCCAGTCTTAAGGCTCCTGGTCTATATTGGCTCTGAAGAAGCCATTGACTACTAATTTTAGGAGCCTGGTTATGTTATTCAAGTGCTTGAGGCTTGTTGGGGTGTGTAAATAATTACTGTTTCTTCTTCCATGCCTATGTACCCTCCCACCAATGCCAACCTATGAGTAACATGTTTCCAATTAAAAAGTGTTTGAGGACTGCCACTGAGAAAAATGCCAAAGGCTTTCTGCCTCACAACTGGGCCAAAAGTAAGTGCCTATATACATATCATAGTACATATATAGACATATATATACACACATATAATAGTACGGCTATCTGGGAGAGTTTCTGAGACCTGTGACATGGAGTCATGGTTTTGGACTTCGGCAAAGCTTCAGTGCTTAAGCTCTGCTTTAGGTGCCCAAATATTTTTCTAGGTGC